TTTTTTAAATTAAGGAAACAAATCAATTTTTTTCTTTCTTTTTTTTTTTAAGAGAGATTTTTGCTATAGGGATCATGTGCTTGCCAGAGAAACAGAGAGAGACAGAAAGACAGAAAACAAGAACTCACCCCCTGGGGGGGATGGCCACACCGCAATCCCTTCTCCATTCTCCTCTTGGGATTTTGGGCACGCACACAAATGTACCTAGCGTGAGTTTTAAGCTTCTGGGCCCAGGACTTGAATCATGGTTAACTACATGGGAGTCCAGTGACGTAACCATTATCCCATCTGCTGGTCCTGAGGAGCAAATACATTTAAAATAAATAATCGTGACCTCGAGGGGACCTGCAGTTAGTGTAATGGCTATGTCAATGTACTCCCACATAGTCGACCGCAGTTGGAGTCCTGGACCCGGTGGCTTATACTCATGCCTCGCATGTGTGCGTGCGTGCCCAAGATCCTGAGAGGAGAAAGGAGGAGAAGGGATTGTGGCGTGGCCATCCCCCCTGGGGGGTGATTTCTCATTTCCTATCTCTATGTCTCTGTCTTTCTGGCAAGTGCATGCACCCTATAGCAAAAACCTCTCCAAAAAAGAAAATAAATAAATAATCGTGACCTCGAAAAATCAAAGAAACCCAGAAATTAAATTTTGTTTCTCTCTTCTACATGGAAGCATAGTTAAACAACTAGAAAAAAGGGAAAGATAAACAATTTTGCATTTAATTTATTATTGTGAATAATTTTTTTTATTGTGAATAATTTAAGGCAGCTGGACTCTGAGAAAAACAATGTTAAGTGTAAAAAGCAGACTATAAAAACTGTATGTAAAGAAATAGGCCAGACCAGGGGCTGGCAGGTGGCATGGTGGTTAAGGCAGCTGGACTCCCATATGGCTGACTGCAGTTCAAATCCTGAACCTGGCAGCTTGCTTTCTCACTTTCCTTCTCTCTCTGTCTCTCTCTGGTCAACTTAAAAAAAAAAAAATTAAAATAAAATAAAATAGTGACAGCAAATAAAATAAAATAATTCTTAAGAAAAAAAAAAAAAACAGAAGTAGGCTGGACCATAGTGCAGCAGTAAAATGTGCAGTCAGGAGGCTGGCAAGTGGCATGATGGTTAAAGGTGCTGGACTCCCACATGGCCGACCATGGTTCAAGTCTCAGAACTGGTGGCTTGCTTTCCCACTTTCTCTCCCTCTCTCTCTCTGTCTCGCTCTGGTCAAAGTAAAATAAATGAATGAATAAATTTAAAAAAAGAAAAAAAAAAAAAGAGGAGCTCACCAAAAAAGAGCTGTCAGTCAGTGATGCTGACTGACCCACATGGGAAGGTTCTGGGTTCACATCTGGAACCCTCCTTGAGTATGTGAGGCACACACACGTCCATGATCTGGGACTGGCTGCGGCTGCGGGTGGGTCACAGCAAGACTCTATTTTTCTCAATAAGTAATCCTTTTTTTATAAAAGGGAATAAAGGGACTAGCAGATGTTGTATTGAGGCTGTATTCGCACGTGGCCAACCACAGTTTGAGTCCTAGATCTGGCAGCTTGCTTTCTCACTTTCCTCTCTCTCTGTCTCTCTCTCTGTGTTGTGTATCTCTGGTAAAATTAAAATATAAATAAATAAATAAATAAATAAATAATGATTTTTTAAAATAAGGAGCACTCGAGTCACTAGAAACAGTGAAGAAATAAAGATCTGGGCTGGCTGTGTAGCACAATATTTAATTTAAGCACTGTGCATAGGGAGCCGGATCCCATTTATCTGATCTCACAATTCTAATCTCAGCCCTGGTGGCCTAAAAAATATACCACGTACATTTCCTGTGGGATGGAGAAATGGCAGAAAAAGGATTGCAGTGTAGGCATGCCCCATTGGAGGTGCACTTTCTCTCTCTCTCTCTCTCTCTCTCTCCCTCCCTCCCTCCCTCTCTCCCTCTCCCCCTCTCCCCCTCTCTCCCTCTCTCTCCATCTCTCCCCCTCCCTCCCTCCCTCCCTCTCTCCCAAGCATACACACCCTCTAGAAATAGAGGGTCAGGGAGTAAGAAAGATCTTGAACCAGCCAGAGTGGGTGGGCTGTAGGGTACCACCATGTGACTCTAGAGCTCCATGGAAGTCCCTGGCTCAACTCCCAGGTCTACTCAAGCACACATGGAGTGCCTGCATGCAACTGTGGTCCTGGGTACAGCATGGTGAGACCCAATTGAAGCTATCTTTCTCTCCCTTTCACAAAATAAGTAAACTTTTAAAAAGGGAAGGAACGGAGTGGCCCTGCAGTAAGTGCTGTATTTGGAGCTGGGTCCCACGTGGCTATCTGTGGTTTGAGTCTCAGCCCTGTGGGCTTGAAAAACATACCAGGCACATGTATATACATGTCCAAAATTCTGACAGGAAGGAGAAAATAGTGCAGCATGACTGAGCCCCATTAGCGGCTATTTTCTCTATCTCTTGTAAGCACATGTGCCCCCTGGCAATAAATAAGAAGGAAAAAAAGAGAAAGATCTCAATAAAGGTACATGACATTGGAAGCAATTTCGTGGGTATGATACCAAAAACACCGGCAGCAAAAGAAAAAAATAAGTAAATTGGACTTGGGAAAATCTTTTAATTTGTGCATCTGTCAACAGAGTAAAACGGCAACCCACAAGGTGGGGAGGAAATACTTGAAAGTCATTTATCTGGTAAGGGATTGATATCCAGAACATGGAAAGAGCTCCTAAACTCAACAAAAGCCAGTTTAGGGACCAGCGGGTGGCATAATGGTTTTGTCACTGGACTCCCATGTAGTCGACTGCTGTTTGAGTCCTGGACCTGGCAGCTTAAAACTCACGCCGGGTGCATGTATGTGCGTGTTCAAAATTCTGAGAGGAGAATGGGAGAGAAGGAATTACAGTGTAGCCATCCCTCTTGGAGGGTGATTTCTTGCTTTCTGTCTCTCTGTTTATCTCTTGGGCGAGCACACATGCCCTATAGCAAAAATCTCTCTCTAAAAACAAACCAATTTAGGCCAGCCCCGTGGCATGGTGGTTAACTGGATTTCACATCACTAACCCTTCAATTCAAGTCCCAGGCACAGTGGTTTAAGAAACATGCCAGATGCGGGGCCATCAGGTGGCATTGTGGTTAAAATGCTGGATTCCCACATGGCTGACTGTGCTTTGAGTCTCAGACCCATTGACTTCAGACTCACTCCAGGCACGTGTGAGTGTGTGCCCACAAATCCCAAGAGGATAAAGGATTGTGATGTGGCCATCCCCCCGAGGGGTGATTTCTCACTTCCTCTCTGTGTCTCTCCCTGTGTCTCAGCAAATGCTGCCCTATAGTAAAAAATCTCTCTGGAAAAAAAAAGAGAGAGAAACATTCTGGGGACATCTGCATGTTTGCCCAAAATTCTGAAAGGAAGGAGAGATGGAGATGGGTGTCTGGTATGATCTTTCTCCTTAGGAGGTGCTTTCTCCTCTCTCTCTCCCTGTCTCTCTGTCCCTCTCTGGCAAGTGCACACATCCTCTAGCAGAAAAAAATTAAAAATGGGACTGGCAGGTGGCATGGTGGTTAAGGGTGCTGGTCTCCCACATGATCGACTGTGATTTGAGTCCTGGACCTGGTGACTTGCTTTCTTGCTTTCTCTCTCTCTCTTTTTCTCTCTCTCTGTCCCTCTCTGGTCAAATTAAAATAAATAAATTTAGTGAAATAAAAATAATTCTTTAAGAAAAAACATTTTTAAATGGGCAAAGGTCTTGAATAGACATTTCTCCAAAGAATGTGTCCATATGGCCAATAATCACATGAAAAGATTCTCAGTATCTCTAATAATTAGAGAAATGCAAATCAAAGCTATGAGCTATCACATAGTATCCAAAAATTAGAAAATAACTAGATTCGGCAAGGATGTGTAGAAATTGGCACTCTTATGTACTATTAGTAGAAATGTAAATGTGTACAGCCACTGTGGAAAACAGTATGATGGCTCCTCAAAAAATTTAAGTAGAATTAGTATATAATATTCCTAACTGGCACCTAATTATATCTCAGGAGGGTTACTGAATGTACCCGTTTCTTCACAATTTAATATGTCTGATATTTGGATGGCAAATATCTTACAATTATCAGGAATTTTTCCCTTCCCTGATACAATAGTACAGCTAAAGGTTTGTTGGATTGTAGAATCAAAATAAATAGGTAATTACAGACGTAGTAATAGCACATAGAAAGAAAAACAAAGAAAAATGGGACATAAACCGCTAGAGTAGTGCCCACTATAGACACTTAATATCTTTCTAGTCTACAGAGTTTGCTTTGCAGTAAAGGACGGATTCTAAATTCATCGAATCTATATAGAAGCAAGATATTTGGGCTTATAGTAACCATTTTAAATTTAAGCCTTCATCTGAGCCCTCTTTATATATACAGTGAAGCAAAGGGAAGAGTTAGACTTTTTAAGATATTAGTCAACTATTACTTTGTATTTGAAAAACAGGAATATGCACCAAATTGTTATTATTTAAAATTAATTGAGTAGGAAGTTCAGGTTGCTGACTTCTCATGTTATAATCCGTCCTTGGCTATAAGAGGGAGTCTTGGATGGTTTGCCTTGTGTTACCGTAAAGAGAAAAACGAAACAGAAAACCTTGTGATTGACAAACCGAAATGAAATGGCTTTCGCATTGTACGTATGGATCAGAGCTTCCACTGTGGCTCGCAAGCACACAGTTGGTACTGACAAGGAGGAGAATGAGAATGTGTGCCTCCTGTCCTCAAACACTCATCGTGTAGGCTTAAGGAAAACTCCATGTTTGTGCTATAAATATGTAAGACTTGAGATCTCTCTAGCACTGATTATTATTTTCAAACTGCTCCTGGCCCCCTGTCCATTAGCACTGATACCATATGTTGCTGGAAGGAGTCGGGGGGAGATCAGGGAAGGAGTTGGAAGATGCTTTGCTTGCTGCAGTGCTGTACCTTTATTCCTCTCACACATCCCTTCTCCTGCTTCGGTCCCTGCAGTGAAGCTGCCGCCCATGCTGTCGCCACCCTGGCTGAGGCCACCTTACAAGGTGGGGGACAGATCGTCCTGTCTGGGGAAACCGCAGCAGCTGTCGGAGCACTTACTGGAGTCCAAGATGCTAATGGTAAGAGAGCATAAATATTTTATTGAATTTCTTCCCTATTTCCACTTAAACCTTCCTGACACAGCTGGCAACAGACCCTTCAGAGAGATACTGAGTTTTGGTTTGAGTTTTTCTTCATTGGTAGACATTTGATGCCCACGAAAATTCTAGGAGCCTGTAATTCTTCTCACTAGCGGGAGTTTCCTAAAGGAAAAGGCAATGATAATCACTACCTAATTGAATTGTTTATTTAGAATGTGGTTATTTTGCTGTGACATGACCTCCTGAGAGGTACTTTAAAATTTGCTATGGGGTGCACTTTGGTTTTTGCTGGGCCGTGGGATAGAGGAGGTCGGCATCTTTTGCTATAGAAGGTACTGTCCCGTGGGCAGGTACATCATGGTAGAGTGGAGGGTTCTGACTGCCTCCATTTCCCCTGGCAGAGGGCTAGGCACGGGCTGTGGTGTACCTACTCCTCTGGACCGGGCTGTGGGTTCTGCTTTGTGTTATATGTGGCCTCACCAAGGACCTCTGGATTTAGCCAAAAACTTGCCACCACCGTACTCTTCTTCCCCAGCTTGTTAACTTCCTGGATATTAGTGACTATCCTGAATAAACAAAGGGAATAAAATTCGTAGAAATATGGTAGCAAATGTACTGCTCCAGCCAGCTGTTTGGATCTACTGTGGCAGGCCTGGGAGGCAGTTGCCGAGACTCGGGCTGCCATGAAGTGCCTCCGGAGTCTGGGGCCGAGCGGAGCACCAGCCGTGTTCAGTGAGACTCTGCAACAGTTTCTTAAACTTTAAAATATACATATAATTGAGAACCAGCAGTTAGCGTAATGGCTATGTTGCTGGATTCCCACGTAGTCGACCGCGGTTCGTGTCCCGGACCCGGTGGCTTAGAACTCATGCCGGGCGTGTGTGCGTGCGTGCCCAAGATCCCGAGAGGAGAATGGAGGAGAAGGGATTGTGGCGTGACCATCCCCCCTGGGGGGTGATTTCTCACTTTCTGTCTCTATGTCTCTCTCTGCCTGTCTGGCAAGAGCATGCGCCCTATAGCGAAAACCTCTC